ATATATATATATATAATTATTTCCAGAAATATTCGAACATTAAATTATTCGATTTTTAAGAAATTGTTAATATTGTCAAAAAAATCGTAACAATCCATCGTTATTTTAAGGATTGAAGTCCCTATTTTCATAAATCTGAAATTATTTTTTCAACGATATCTGTATGTCATTTTTACATCAATGGGTGAAAAATGTTTAGGAGATTTTTTTCTTTTCTAAAATCGAAAATGAATCAATGTCTCAATGTTTATGATTAAATGTAGGTAGCATTTATTAAAGAATTTTAATTATACTTCGACAATTCTTTGGCAATATGTTGCGATATGCATGTAGTTTAGCGAACGCATTGCAAATAAATCTTTGTTATACTATTATATTTCAATTTGAATTTCAAGTTCTTACATTTTCTTTTTTCAGTTAATATACGAATATATGTAATATCGATCAAATATTTCTTATAATATAAAATTTCGAACAAAATTTATTAATTAAGACTTAATTAAATTATATTGTACGATCTTTTTTTTTATTAATGAATTTGTGTTTAATTTAGTAAAAATATTAATAATAAATAAATCTATGTATGTGTAATAAATTTAAGCATTTCGAATTTTTTATTTTAGATTGCACCACATTTTAATTTCGCAATATTTAATGATTATACGTTTGTATAATTATTGAATATTAATCATGTATCATTGAGTATTAATATTTAAATAATTTTTATCGTAATATATTCATCATAATATATTAGTAAATAATACTTTTCAGAATAAATAATTGAAGATATACTTCAAGTCAGAATAGATAATTGATGTTTTGAAGGTAAAAGTAAAACGTTGTATATTACTTTTATTATTTCCTACAAATTTTAAAGTTAGATCAGTTATAAATATTTTATTTGTAGTTATTAAGTTACTCTTTCTTAATGTGTCAATATGCGAAATAAAATTTTTAAAATCCTACATTATAGGATCATTTTATTGGAAATCACATTTTAAGTGACTATTATTAAATTTTTTATTATTTTATTCTTTATCGTAATTAATAATTGCATTGAACACATACTTCATTACAATATATTGAATACTTCGTTGAAACTAATTTCAATTAGAAAATTTTACATAATTTTCAGTTTTAATATAACATTGTTGTTTTATATATTTTTTATATCTATAGTTCAATTTTTTTCTTTGGATACTAAAGGCTCTACAAAAATATTGTTTTTATACTTAAAGACATTGAATAGTCTTTTTTTAGATTATATTTATATTACGTAGATTTTCATACTAGCTATATTGCAACTTTCGTTTCTCCTATAATTGTATCTTATCTCCGAATTAAATATCTTTTTTTTTTAATATCGCTTCTATAATGAAATATTATATAACATGTTAAATATTGCATATAATGTCGATGTTGTTTAAAATTCTTTCTTTTTTAATATAGATATACAGCGTGTTTATCTATGAACAGCAAAATATCTTGACAAATATTAACGATACGAAAAAGTATTTCAAACAAATGAGACACATATGATGATGATATGATGCCTGATCTTGCAATAACATTGAAACATCCTGTGATGGTCATGTTAAAATTTTAATTTTATATTTTTCATTACATATTCTTGTACGTGACACTCAAACGCCTTCGAAACTTATTATATTATTATAATAACTTTTATAATAATTATAATATATTAATAATAATTTGTTATAAACTTATTATATGTTAATAATTGTTATCGAGATGTAAGCATTTAAGACATGCTGCTTGTATCAGTATTGCCCAATGTATGTTATGGAAACGTTGCTAAGTAAGTTGGAATTTTTGAAACAAATTGTTTCAAATTATACGACTATACATGTCATACACGATATTACAAGGATCACTAACACATGGAAACTATTACTTCGCAAAGAGAAAGTAAAATAACAAAAGTAAGTGAAGTACTAAGAAATCTTAAACTATTAAGGAATATTAAATACTGAATTTACCGAAGTTATTATACTGAAATTACTGAAGGCAATTGCTAATTTACTATCTTTTAAAACATAAATTGATCATACAAAGTTCAAACGAACATTTTTCCCGCGCGCCATGTATACAAGATGGTCCATTTAAGTGGAAATAAAATAGTTAATTTTAGCCTAATTCATATTAGGCTAAAAAATAGTTTTTGCCTAATATGAATGGTATTCAAAAGGTTAATAGGTTAAAAGGTAAGAATATATATTTTTTTAAGGTCACTTTTTTCTAGGATTTTTCAAGGTCATTGATGTTTTTTTCATATAACTATATATATAATATATATGTATTTTATTGCATCGTGTAGCTGGTGAAAAAATACGTATTTCAGATATATAAAGAACATGATCTTGAAAATTTATTTCTATCAGGATCGCAGGCCTTAGTCGAGACGCGACAATCGATTACACTTATAATAAATGTAAAGATGTTAACTACATGGTCAATCCCTTTCAGTAGCTTGAAATCCTGAGCAGTGTATCGAAATTTGTCAGTAATTCATAATGCTGCAAATTGCATCCAACACTAATCATCTCTATAATCATTAGCTACGTCAAGAACAGAAGATTCTACATAACTGTCAATGGTACATCATCCACAGTCAAAAATTCCGCAAGGTTCCACACTGTTCCTTCTTTTCATTATGTATATTAACGACGTGTTAAAATCAAAGAACACGCACACGACAATAAACGC